AAAAAAAAAAAAAGCAAAAAGCTGTTCTTGCCACTAACCATTTCCTAGCCTGAGATACATAGAGACTTCAGCAAACACCTCCACAGTAACTTACTTCTGAAAATAAGAATATAAGGAAGGAAAATCCCCAACGTAGCTCTCCGTTCTGTGCGTGTGCGGCACTCGGGCGGGCTGCRGCACTGCCGCCCTGCTCTACCCCATCGAGCACCGTGGCCAGGCCCGGGTCGGGTCGCTTGCGGGGAGCCCCTCAGCCCGAGCCCGCACAGGTGCGGGGAGCCCGGCGCTCCCGCGGCCGGGGAGCCTGCACGATGTGCTGCAACCGCGCAGGGATGCGCGGGGCCGCGGCGGGCTCGTTCAGCGAGCGCCCGGGCTCCTCCTGCGCGCCGAGCGCCCGCGGAGCGGCTGCAGCAACGAGCTCTCCTCTCCCACAGAGCTGCRGGGAGGGAGGCCGCGCACCCAGAGCCGCGGCCAGGCTATGGAGCCTCTCTTCCAGGCCCCTACGTTCTCCCCTAAACCGCAGGAAAACGGGCACCGCGCACGTAGCCGCGGGGTTACCGGCTGTAGGCGCCGTCGCTCCCGCCGTAGTCGTAGGGCTGGCCCTGCTCGTCGATGCTGTAGCTGCTCTGGAAGTAGTCGGCGTTGAAGCTGTCGAAGCCGGACATGTCGGCGACCTGCAAGGGAGCGGAGCGGCCGCCTGAGCCCCGCCTGAGCCCCGCCTGAGCCCGCGCCTGAGCCCGCCTGAGCCCGCGCCTGGGGCCGCCTGAGCCCGCGCCTGAGCCCCGCCTGAGCCCGCGCCTGAGCCCGCCTCGCCTCGCGCCGCCCCCGGCCCCGCAGGACCCCCCGGCACGGCCCGACCCCCTCACCCGCTGCGACGTGTCACAGCGCCGCCGCACCGCTTCCGGGACACGGCGCCGCGCATGCGCGCCGCGCCGCAACGCCCGSCGCGCATGCGCCCTGGAGCCAGCGCGTTGCTAGGAGACCGCGGCCTCAGGGAGGAGGCAGACAAGATGGCGGTCGCGCACTCGGGCCGCGAGTTCGGGACCTGCCGCCTGCGCGGGGAGCTGCGGCGCCCAGGTCGGCCCTGCACCCGAGTTTCCTCCTTGTTTAAACTCGCTGGAGCTGCCTGTTAATAAATGCAGCGAGGAATGTAGTTTCGGCCAGAGTTCACTGTCATTAGGGAGTGTGTGCCCAGACAAGCTTTATATCCCATTAAATCACCAAAATATTCACAAAGAAAGGTTTCATTTCTGTTGTGTGAGGACTACTGAAGTCTTTGTCCAYGTCCCATCCCATACAGCAATAATGTGAGAGGGGTGTGGAACTGAGAAAGAATCACAGAATCTYGGAATCACAGAGTCCTCGAGGTTGGAAGGGACCTTTGGAGATCATCCAGTCCAGCCCCCTGCACGCGCAGGGTCACCGAGAGCGTGTGGCACGGGGCGGCATCCAAGCAGGTTTGGAAGATGTAAGAAGAGAATGGAACGGAACAGAAGGCCTGCGACAGACTGAGACGGGCATGAAGTAACAGTGGAGTAGGAGAGGCCAGAGGCAAAGCCCTGCTGTGGCCTAGGAGCTGAACGGGAGCGATGGAGACAAGCCCGAAGGGGCAGCAGGGCCTCCGTCGGCAGAAGGTGCTCCGAGGTAAAGGAACAGCAGTGCCCATAGGCAGGACCTCGCAGGGCGCAACRCCGCCGCGTTCCGGCCTGCCTCCTCCATGGGATCATCTCCTGCAGCCCCAGGTGTTGGTGTGCGCAGCTGGAGAAAATATTCCTGCACATCTGCAGGGTGTGCTGGGCTTGCACTATGCTCAGGAACCTCCTTGCCTGGAATTCCTTGGTCAGCCCATTTCTCCTCCTCGCATCATCACCTTGCTCCCTTTTCTTCATGCAGGGCCAGGGGAAAAGGCTGCACTCTGKTTCTGTTAATGAGAATTTGTGTTTATTAACTGCATGAGGAATTAGCGTGCCGCGCGGAAAGGGGTGAGCGTGCGCTGCTGACTCGGACCGGCTCCGTTGTGCACAGTGAGGGAAAACCCCAGCTGAGATAGTTCAGCCGAAACCTAAAAACTAAATGAATCATAGCTACCTACAATAGGTACCTGGTAATGAGGTGGAGAAAGGCGTTAGTTGGGCGCTCATGAACAGCTGCAGCCCCATGCCTGGTGTCGCCTGACTTCTTGCATGATGCAGGACTGAACCCTTGGGCACACATACTGCTGCACAAAGCTGTGCTTTGAAACATACGTACTATTTTCTTCTTTTTTTTTAATTTTAGCTTTTATTTTTGGGACATAGTCACAGTTACTTTATTACAAAAGATTACATGCATGTAATCTTCTAGTGGGATTATTGTACCAGATTTTTAGTCCTGCTATAAGCCTTTCCTGCAGAACTTGTCTCATGGTRCGGTGTGTGCTCTGGCTCCTGAGAACAGGCTTCCAAAACATACACGTTTGTAGAACTGAAAGAAATAACAGTGGGAGAATTGCACCCACAGATAATCCAGAGATCAGGAACCGTGTTATAAGCATCTTGCAAATTTATCCTTTAAGTAAATTAGCTTTGGGAGCTGAGAAATTTCCCGCTTTCCTGGAAGAGCTGTGGAATGAGCAGACTGTATGTGATGCTGATGACTTTGTACCGCTTTGCTGAGCTCTCTTGCCTGGTTGCAGCTCACTGGACAGTAAAATGAGACCCCTGCCCGGACTTAGATCCCACACAGTGTGCTGTTTGATTGTGAATTTCTGTGAAATGCTCTTTGACTGGAATCTATTTGTTTTGACTATTAGAATTTCCTCACAGTTTAGGTTTGCGCTTTTGTTAATTAGCTCTCTGCATTGGCATGAGGCATCTCACCGTTATTTCAGGATATCCCTTGTCTTCTCCAGGACTTTGCAGTGCTCTAACAATCAGAGCAATTTGTGCCTGCTCCATCTTGACCTAGACATTTTGTTTTCTCTTTCTTTGTCTTGCCCCTTTCCCAGGAATTGCCCAGCTCCCTGGGGTTTGATGGAGTCTTGTCCTGGAAACACAGTCTTGGCCTGGGACTGAGCCATGGGGTTCAGTGCTGAGGAGCACTGAACATTGCAGCATCTGTGGCTGAAGACTCCTTGGGTGGCACCTTGAAGTCGTTTCTGGATCAAAGTGTGGGCCTAGGACTGGCAGTACTGTTTTGCTTCCTTTCTTTTTTATTTTAACTATTGTGTGTAACAATCTCCTGTAGTGATCAAGTTCCCGTTGGGTTTTAGCTGAACTCTTCTGTCAAAATACTTATTTTCTTCCCAGAATTACTCCTTCAGTTTCTGCTTGAAATTGTTTCCTACTTTTCCGAGTCCTTAAAGTTCTGTATCGTGTTGCTAAATGCTCATAAACAGCTTCTACATTTCTTATTATCTGTGAGTGCCTTGCTTCGTATTTATAGCTTGTGCATTGGCGCAGTGAGATGCAAGGTGATGGGTATACTTAGCATTGCTACTATGCACTTAGCTAAATACTACCCTTCTTTCTCATATTCATTGCTGCTGCTTTTTAGAGACCTGCCTTTTTTAGCACCCACAAAATTTGATGAAGTCAGTTGTCCCACGATTTCCTGAGAACCTGAGTGCTAATGTATCACTTTGTCATAAGCAATGACCTCAAAACTGTGACAGATGCCACATCATTAGTGTATCGGGTTTAAGCATAGCTCTGGTGTGACTTTGGGAACATAAACTTTAAGCTTGGGCTAAATTTTCCTCTAGCTGCACTGAAGGTTATGCTGGCATCTGTTCGCAGTGGAACACGCACCCTTTGATAGATGCTGCTTTCTTTGCCTTCACAGAACTGGAGCTGGATTTCAGATGAGCTGCTTGGTTTTGCAGCTGAATAGGGACGATCCTTAGTGTGGTCTGACACATATTGTACATTCAGGTCACCAGGGTATTTGGCCCAGATTTTCCAAGTTTCACTTCTCTTAGGCCAATGTCTTGTATTTAGCAGGGGAGCATTAGGTGGTGCTTATGCTATGGAGCCACTGCATCACAGGAAATTATATTACATTGGGGTAAAGTGATTGGAACAGCCTGTGTGAGGATGTAAGAGTATGACTTGAATTTCTTTCTTTTATTATTTGAGAAGTGCCGATGCATTTCTAAAGCTGTTGTGATTAAAATTCTGAGGTATTTGTTCTTTTCAAAGGGCAATTCTGATTATAATTTTTCAAGAAGATATAGAGCTSTAATGCGTGGCTTTTCGCTGATCACCCGGTGCCCGTGTCCCCGTGCTCCACAGAGCTGCGTCAGAAGCGCAGCTTTTCTTTAAGGCTGTTGTCCTGCCGGCCACTCTGAGCAGCCTGAGCCAGCCCGACCGACCGCGCTGCTTTTCCCTGTCCCACGTCTGTCCCGGGAAACCTGGGCATTCTCATCTCTGTCATCCTCTGTGGTCACTAATGACTTTGGTCCTAGTTTCAACGATCAACTCCAGCAAAAACTGGCCTTATGGAAGCTGATCTAACAGCGAATTAGGCAGTGTTAATCACTGAAGTATTTGAAGGTGACACGCAAGGCTCCTTGCCAGGAACAGGGGCAGCGCTGGGGAGCTTAGCCCCGCGGGGCCCTGTGTCCTGGTGCCAGTGCCCATGCGTGTTGYGGTGTGCCCGGCTGTCCCGGTCTGTTCTAGACGTGCCAACCACCCTGGGGACCGCGCTCGGMGCCCTGCGAGGTACCGGCAGGTCCTTCTGCAGCCGCGTGTGGGGCTCTGTCCTGCCGCTGTCCAGGACACAACAAGCAGCCTCCCTAGGGATCCCGGCTTGGGCAGCTGGAAACYGTGAGTGAGAGAGAGAAGCTGGTGTCAGGAGCCACCTGAATTAGGGAGCTAGGTGAAGTCTAGGGTTTGGCGAACCGTTTGCCTGTCCGGTTTAAGTTCTAAAACCGCTGCAAGTTGGGCTCTTCTGCTTGCCCTTTCAACACCCGTGTTTCACGTTCCCGCGCTGCGCGGCTCGGCTATGTGCGCTTCGCTCGTGCCCGCTTTGCAGCAGAGCCCCCGACGTGGCTGCAGCTCCCGCGGCGCCGCGGGAACGCGCCGGGCAGGCGGCTGCGGGCCGGGAGCGCCAGGCCGTGCGCGGAGCCCCGCGGCCTCCG